TGGTGATTAATACAGCAGATTTAAATTTTGGTCTCCCCAGTGGTTATAAAGACTTCTAATTTGTACCTACTGCCAGATTAATAATCACTGTATTATTTAATAATAAATTAATAATCACATTTTGAAAATTTGAGTCAAACCATAAAGTACTGTGGAAATATTAATGCCATAAGACTTTTTGGAGAGAAATTTGACATGATTCATAATTAAAATGTGTATATCCTTTGTCTCAGAAATCCAGACTCTGGGAACTTATCCTTAGGAGATAATCAGGCAGGTATTTAACCCAATAAAAATACAGCAAGATCGCATGATAGTTGAGGGTGCAGAATCTAGATCTGCATTGCTGAGGTTCCAGTGCTTGGCTCCTGAACCTGAACAACTTACTTAACTTCTTTGAGCCTCCCTCTCCTTATCTGTAAAATCAAGGTGATAATATTATCCATTTGGTAAGTGTGTTTGGGGACAAGATTAGCTAATATATTTAATGTATCTATATTTAGTGCATGGCACAGAGTAAGTGTATCATTGCTTTATAAAAGCATAATATTGACTTATACCACAAATATCTATCATTAACAGGATGATTAAACACTTTGTTATATATTTTTATAATGTGATACTCTGTAGCCAGCCATTGAAAGGTGACTGAAAATCTATACACACAGATACAGAATCATGTCCATATTATATTGTTGAGTTAAAAAAGTTGAAAAACATCACATGAAATTAATGTTATCTATGAAAACGAGAAGGAAGAAGAAAAAGGATATATAGATAGAGCAAATATATATACAAGAAAAAGAATTGAGCAAACCTTAGAATAATGGCCTCCAAGATATTAATATTTGTTTTATTTGAAAGCTAAGAGAGGAATCTTTGTTATTCTTCTTTTGTTATTCCCTTTATTGTTTGAATTTCCTATAATAAAGATGTATTTATATGTAGAAAAAAAACCTGTAAACAAAACAAGCAATGGAAGAATTATTAGGAAAATAGAAGTCAAAGATTAAATAGTCATTCTAGTTTGTTCTAATTTAATTTCTTACTATTGGAAGCATACCATGTCAAGTCAGCTTTCTGTTACTGTGACAAAATACCGAAGACAATGAACTTAAAAGGAGGAAAAGTTTAGTTTGGCTTAGTGTCATAGGTTTCAGACCATGGAGGCTTGGCCATGTGGCCTTTGGGTCTGTGGTAGCACAGTACTTCATGGTG